ACAAAATCCTAACCACCACCTAAAAACTGTTATTTCTGAGTGGCCTTCAGGAGGTATCTGGATGATTTTACTAAGTTTATTCCAGGCAAATCAGATTTTTCATGCAATTTACTATGTGCAACTCCAGTGGCAGAACACATGTAATTTACAACAGTGACTGAAAAGAACACCCTGGAGAGAACCAATCTGAGATTCCTGCACCTTCTTACTCTTAAACTACACATGCATTCTTGGCAAAGGCTGGTTGGTCCCTGAGGAAAGGAAATTGAAACATGTTTTGCAGCAGACATCTTAAAAATGGACACGCAGCCCTTCAGGAAGCCAGTGGAAGCTGACATAGTAAGACAGTTTGAATGATAGTCAAGAAATTGCCTGAGTAATGTTTCTACAGACATGAAATGTGAGGGATCAACATAGATCATTCAATCTATCATTCTTCAGTCTAGCCTCTTTCAAGCCAGATTTGGATGTCCTAGTAAAACTAATGGATGATTTTTCTTCTCAGTGAGATGGCATTTTTGGAGCAGGAAGTTTATTTCTTTATGTAAGAGATAAACTCACGGTTTTCTTGGTAATTCTAAGGAAACAATCAGAAAATAATTTCTATTGTACTTGATAGACCTTACAGGCTCCTCAGTATTCCTTCCTTTATTTTTTTGTCACAGGTTTTAGTTATGGACTTGGGGCTATAATGTCTCCAGTCATGGAACTCTAACACCAACAGCACGTGTTAGTCTTTGGGCATAGCTCTGATTTAAAGCACTGAGTGTGTTTTTCAGTTTTAGCCATATTATGATTCATCAGATGTCTTTTAAATTGTAGTTTTTCAATATTAGTAACAATTATTATTAGCAGCACAGTTCTACAATTGGTTATTTGGTTCAATTAAATACAGAAGCCTTGGTCCGTGGATGAATAGATTTTCTGTTCCTGATTTAGCTCTCCTGGCACCAGGCATTATGTCTTGTTTTGTCCAAGATTCATTTGGCTGGCTACACAAGTTTCGCATGGCTGTATCACCTCTTTTTTCACAGTCTATCAAGACATCAACTAGTTTTTGACTCGTGGTTCTTTTTTGGTCACTCTAATTAGACATTAATTTCACATAATTTGTATAGTATCAGTGCTAAAATCTGCTATCATTACTCTAGATTTATAGAAAACTACTCTAAAACCATCTGAGAGTAAATATCATCAAAGTTCATGTTTTATTTTCAGGCTTTTAATGTAAAATTCTCCTTTCATTTCTCTTTCAAGTCTGCTTGAATGAGCTGTGTATTACCAGTTGCTTTCCCATCTGTCTCAATTAAGTCCCTTTGACAAATTCCAATCTGGCCTGAGGAAAAATCACAGTACTGAAACCACTCCACACTAGATTATTAGGTATATTTTATTAACAGTGCCTCTTTACTTAAACAAAAAATCTTGACACTCATTAACTCCCCTGACAGCAATGTCTTGAGGAGCCCTACCACTCAGACTCACACATTCTGATTGGCTTCGCACCCCTCTCTTTCCATTCCCTCCCATCTTCTGACTTTTCACCAGGTACAAAAGTGAGGGGTTTCCTCTTTAACTTTTAATGTTTCATATTCTTGCTGGACGTAACTTATGGTCTGTACAGCATATAAACTCCACATGACTCCTTTCAATTTCAAACTGCCAAACCCTTACCCACCTTGAAAGTGCACTGAGAATTTAATGGATATTATAGACATACTAATTTTGTCCCTTAGCCTGTCCCAACAGATTTTACTCTAAATGCATGTGTTAATTATCCTAACTTAAAATTCTCACAAAACCAAATCCAGAGAGGAAAAACTCCCACAAATGTAACTTACATTCTGCCACTACACTTTTGTCAGGATATTGCAGATTTTATGCCTATGGTTTAAACTTATATTTTTCAAATTCTTATTGGAACGTGTTACAAAAATGGTGAGCCCAGCCACACTTTGGGTTTCACAGGTTATTTATTGGATTGGGTTTTTCTTTTTTTTATGTTTTTTTTTTTTTTTCCAAACTTTTTGTATTCCCTCCCCCCTCCCCATCCCTCTCTAATCTTTTTTTTCAGGAAATTTAATGACAGAACTGCTTATTCCCAAGTAAATAGAAGTCTGCACTATGCAAACAATAACAAATTCTGTTTAAAAGTAATTGTTAGCTACATTTGACAACCCTTAAGGGAATAGGAGAGAAATATAGGTTGTTGCCCAGAATTTCTTGTTCTACTAGAAACTAGATTGAGGCTAACACTTTTGAGTAGTCTTGCAAATCCCAAATCTACCACCTCCAAGTTAGTTGGGAAAAAAATTCACCTGTTTCTACATATCAGTTAGTTAATTCATGAGAAATACAATCCTAACAGGTCCTGAACGTGCAGAAACCTTGTTGTGTTATTTGTTCAGCAAATCATTGCACCAACTGCCTCAATATCCCTGCAGCACCTGCTGCCAGAATTACTCTTAGGTAAGAATTTGTATTGTACTTTTCCTAAACCAGGCTAGACATCCTGTCTGGGAACTGTTCTCTTCCACAAGCACCCCAAATGTCACTTGTTTAAAATCAAAGAAACAAACAAAGAAACCAACAAACAAAACCCACAAAAACCCAAATGCATATAATGAGATATCAGTTTCTAACTGCATGCAGGGAAGTAATGCATTAAGGCTATGTTAGCTCTAACATGTCACATATATTTTTTTTAAAAGGTGAAATGACCATTTTTTGGCTGAGTTGGCTTTTGCTCCTCACACACAGCCAGTGGACTGCCCCATGCCATTACTGGGCAACAGAATGCTGACTGAACCTGCCCTCGTGGCAGGGTGTCTTGGCATCACTTGGTATTATGGCTGTAGTAACATGATCACCGTCTCAGTAGCAACCCGAAAGTAATGGAATTTAAATAATTCTCAAAATTGTTATATATGAATTATTTAGAAAGTTAAGGACAAATTATTATTTTTTTATTTCAACTACTAACCAATAAATGTAAAAAAATACCAACAACAAAACAAAATAAACCCCTTCATCCCCCACATTAAAGCAATAGTTTTTGTAACATTCAAAACAGTGGAAACTATTTACCTTATATTATTATTAGTGGAGAAAAACAGAATTAATTTAAAATCATTTTTTCATACTCCCCCAGTGGATGCCAGATAACTCCAGCTTAAACAATATAAAAAACTCATTTTAAATGGAGAATAATACAGACAGAGCTCAATTATCGAGATATTAAGGGCAACATTCAATTTGAGATACATTTAGGCATCTTTGCCTCCTGGAGATTTTTACATGACAAGGCTTTAGATAAACATGGTTTTTGCAAACAGCAACTATCATATCTGATCATATAACCTCTGGACTGAAGCAGTATGTCAACAAATATTTCTGATTATTTAAAATATTAAATAACTGTAATTTACTAGGCAGGTCTTCCTCAGAACAATCACAATTTTTTTCAAGAATGAATACCCATATACAAAAAGCATTTAGATGATCTGTTACAAATCTCTGCATAAAAAGAAATCACCTCTCTGTGATAAAGCCCAGTTAAATACATCCTGGGAAATACTAGCAGTGGAGGAGCTACCTTTCTATGACACGCAGCTTGTGGGGGAAACTGTAGCAGCCAAGGACATAAAGGGTAAGAATCATCTCACCTAACTTTAGCTATCTGGATGTTAGACACCTAATTTAAGCGAATCATCTGGGTTCCCTCTACAGGTAATGGAGATAAGCATTCCCAGAGGGAGATTCATCCTGCTTGTCTTAGGTATCTCTCTTTTAGATGCTTGTAGATGGATAAAGTCAAGAAAGATCAGCCTCACTGACAGCCTAATAATGTCTTTAGTGATGCACAGTTTCCAAATACAATGAAATTAAACCAGAACTGAGATCATTTCTTTGTTTCATCATTTAGCCTTTAATTCTTCCTCTGACCCAACTTTTTCCTCTGTTCCTCCCGTGAACATCAACTTTCTCTGGCACTTTATTTTTCTTACACTGGACTGTTTTCCTGGAACCTAGGGAACTGCAACCAATGTCAATATGTTGCTGCTCTAGCAGTTACAAATCCATTTACATGCATGTGCTCTAAATTGCAGTAATGTTCTGAACAGATTGATATGATAGGAGTATTGATAGTGATTGTGCTTTCTGGGTCTACTCTACCACTTTCAAATGTGTAAAAATCTGTGGCAACATTAAGGCAGTCAAGGTATATAGATGAATGCTAAAATATATTTGTATTCAGAGAAGATGGCTTAAATCAAACAAGGAAAAATAAGGAAGAAATACCATTAGGGCCCTCACTTTTACATGTGTGAGCCCAGGTCACCACACATGCTTCGAGGCCTCCGGGCTTCAGAATATTGAACAAGTCCTAAAGGTGAAGCCCGGCCTCAACTCTCTTGCCTTTTGGGTTTGTGGGTTCTCAGCAATACCAGCATTGCTGCATCGCACCTTTAATCACCAAGCCCTTAGAAACAGTAGCTGATTTTTGTAAGGAAGCAGGTGTCTGAACTTAGACTCCTAAATTCATAGCTGGGTGCATAAAGCAGCAGCAAAACTGACAAGCACCCTGTGCAGTTGCCCACAGATGCTAACCCCAGTAGTGAGGCACTTAGCATTTGTTATAACTCAGAATGGATGTTTATAAATCAAGAGTGTTCCAATGGCTAACTGAAGTGCCTTGGCCAACTGCTTGTGTGCACTAATTTCAATATTGGGCATGCAGTCTACTCTGCATCTTACTTCTACAGCATTTCTATAAAATTAATTTTAATAGTTAAAAAAACCATCTTGAGCTGCATACATGAAAATAACTCCATTTCTACTGAATGACAATCTAATACGAAATAAGAATATTCACCTTTTTTTCTTACTCTGCCCAAATCCAGGCAATAAATTAGGTTTCTCAGCATGACTGTAAAGTGCTGTGAATTGTATAAACAATCATATATGGACACTGAAAAATAACCCTTATGCACATTGCATTATAGTTCCAAAAATATATTTACAGTCTATTACAAAGATTACAAATGGAAGTGTCTATGTAATGGGATTATGCTAGTTAAAAGCTTTTTACAGATTTTCTTCAACAAAGGCAGGAGGGACAAAAAATTAGTATAACCAAACTGATTTTTCTAATGAAACAAATAAATAAAATGACAAATATAACACTGTACAGTGATCTAAAAATGGGGAGAAAAGAGGAGGGGGGAAAACGATGCATTTAAGTTTTTGATAACTATCTTTGGTCCTAAATGTGGGAAAACACATTATGTAGCACTGAATATACATGTTTGTTTGTGATGCTCTGTAAGTAAAATAGAAAAATATAGTGCATTTTCAATGTATTCAGAGCTCACTACACATAAATGTGTGTACAAAACAAGACAGTATAAATAAAATTTACAAGTTTTACAAAGGAACATTTACAGGGTTTTTCTTTTGTTTTTATTTTTTTTGTGTGGATGCCCACATTATGAAACAAGACCAATTTATGACTGATCCCTGGGATCTTTCTCTATCAAAATCAATAGAAGCAGCCCAATTCTCTTTGGAAGTACAGCATTTCATTGCTGGGGTAGTTCACAATTTTCAGATTTTTTTTAAAGCATTTCTCTCCGGTTCATATAGATTCCTGCAATATCTGTAAAGACACCGTTTATTATTGCTTATGGTCGTTAAATATTTTAATCAAAATTCTTACATAAGTAAATGATGTAAAAAGATATTCCGTTGAGCAACTACTCTTGCATCTGTGTTCCTGATGAATGACTGCTATGTCTGTGTGAGCACGCACACATGTCTGTTCAGAGCAGCAAAAGCTTGTAAAAAAATTGAAAATTTTGAACTGCCCCTTGCCTCATGCTCTACAGTTCTCATATAAAATCTATGTCTTTATTCTGACAGCTGGACTGCATACGGCTTAAACTCATATAAAATATATGCCAGCTATTTCTCTCAGATTTGTTAATGCAGAGTATTGAAAAAAAATGTGATGTGCTCAGATTAAATGGTTTAAGTAACACTGGAGAACTGCACCCATATGCTGAGACACTCCTACAGTCGCTTGTCCATTCAATGCAGTGTCTCAGCAGGTTTACAGTTGTAGATCTACATCTTAGAGTATATCTCCCTTTAACTCTAGTCCATTAAAATCACCTTGCAAACAATTTGCTAAAAGTGCCTAGAACTACTTAGGGGTCATTATTGCTTTTCTTTTTTCTTTTCTTTTTTTTTTTTTTTTTTTTTTTTCTCTTTTATTTTCTTTTAAAAGATAGTATATGTGTAACCTTAAAAAATTCTTTAAAAAATATCAGAGCTCTTGGCAACTTACATTTTCCTGACTCCCTGCCAATTAGCTAGCCATGTCAATACGGTGCTGATTTAACAAAAGTAAATGGCACAAAAGGATACCAAAGTTTGGACAGGTATACATTGCTTGGTCATGCTTCTTAAATCTTTAGGAACTCAAATAATCCTTCAGAGGTACCCAGTGTAGTAATGTGTCATAGAATTAGCACTAAAAAGGTCCAAAGATATAAACATCATACTAAAAGAAAGTCTTTATGAAGAATAAACACAAATGATTAAAAAAAGATTCAGAAATCACAGATTTAAGGAAAATATTTTGTTGAATTCAACAATAATATCATGATTTTATCTGACAAATATATTCTTTTTTAAATTTTTATGTACATTTAAAAAGTCTATTAGATAAAAAGGAGGTTAGAGAGCTCAAGGTGTTTGTATGTTTATTCAGGTAGTACTTTGTTTATTGTCACTGCTGTTTTCCTTGCCACCACTGGTGGATCCTAATTCCCTTTTCATAAATTCTGGTGGCACTTAGGAGTTCAAGTCTGTAGGTGCTTCTTGTAGCTCTTCTATTCACTGCAGGAAGGACCCAGGAAATCAAGTGTCTTCTAGCAGCACTTCATATATACTGAAGGCCAGTGCTGTTCTCTCAGTCTGTCACCTCCCTCATAAGGGAGAAATGTCTATCACACTTGGATGCCAGTGCCGTGTAAATGTAGCATTTGTGCTCTCATAGTCTGAATGCTGCTCATGATTTTCTTTTGATGACCAACCAACGTGATCCCTAAACTCATCACATCCCTGGGGAAGATAAATGCGTACATTGTTAATTTTTCAACTTAGACTGCTATTGTATGGTATTCAACTGTGAGTCAAAACTACGTAGTGGTCTGGGCTACGGGTTTCTAATATTGAAGCTACACTGGAACCTCAGCTTAGTACTGTGAAGTTCATACGGGCACTGTTCAACTTCTCTGCAAGGAGTGCAATTACATGGCAAGTGTCATGTAATCACACTGCATGTGTCTCCACATCTGAGAATAAGGCCAGTATGTTTTGCACTACAATAATCGTTTATTGTGGCTTTTAAGGACACCTGAAGGAAGAGACGCTTCTCTTGTAAAATATTTCAGGTGGCTTTCAGGACAAAGTTATGTATAAATACAAGATTTTGGAGATCACACTCTGCTTCCTAAAGAGATGCCTAGGGAAACCCTTTGCATATTGACCCATACCCATCATGCAAATGAAAGAGGAGCAGCTGTTTCAGTTCCACCGCTACTGGTGCTACTGATGTAGTAGAAGCTTGTGGGTGCTGATGACAGTTCCCAAGCTATAGGCTGAGACCCCTAGTGATACCAGGCAGATAAGAGTAGGGTTGTAAACTTGAGAAGCTTGTTTAGAAAACGACTGCTCTCTGTAAGAGGAATTACATGTGTTTGGCAACCACCAGGACAAGAATGTTGTTTGCAGGTGCCAAGAAGACTTGTTTAAGATGGCAGTACCAATACAGGCCATGCTTGCCTTCAGAAAACTGTTTTGCTTCTATAGACTTTTATCCTGATGCAAAGTCATTTCTTGCAGGACACAGACAGCGTCCAGCCAATTAGAAGAAAATTCCATATCTTCCTAGTACACATCTGGAAAAAGGTACCAATTAGGTAGTAGAGGCAAACTGGTTATTTTCCTGTACATACATGCTTTGAAATGGGCCACATTCTCCCTCAAATTCTAGCCCCTTGGTGTTATTTCAATTGGTCTCAAAAGCAGGGAAAAAAGTGATGCCCCACACAGGTAGCAGGGTATTTGCCTTTTCATGGGATGCTCTAATATAACATAATCAGCTGCTAAACCAGCTGGCTTAAACCCAAGTACCATATTTGTACTTAGGGTAAAGTTTTGGTGTTGAACATTGTGTATTATTTTACCTAGAAATTCCCTAAATGCAAGTTAAACATGCCCAGTACTAACTTACTCAATAGTCATCCTGGCAACTGATTCAAGAGAGTTGTAGCCTGCTGCTGTGAAATTATCCTTATATCTTTCCATCTTAATAGCTTGTAACCATTCGCCTACGGAGCAGAAAGTGGTAAAATCGGGAGTGTTCTGGTCCAGAAGAGGGCTAATTGGTCTATGGAGAAGGAAAAAGGAAAGTAAGTTGTATCCAAAGAGAGTAAAACATCAGGGAGTATTTATCAAGGTGAGAGTCAAATAAGTTTGGGGTATTAAAAATGTCAAGAGTAGAAAGTAATAGGCCTTTATATACAGTTTAGATTATTCTGTGAATAGCTCTTGACTACTCTGTAGCTCACAATAGGTATACTTCCTAAGCTCATTCACGTAAAAGATGAAAGGTCAGAGTGAGCACAATCAGCCTAATGGACTACTGTTACCAACCAAAAATCAACCTTATTACCTAGCATGGCAGCAGTTGCAACTAAAGTTGCTGAATAAAATAAAGATGCTATTCTTTTAAGCACCTTAGAAAATATAGTAGTAGCTATTCCCATTATTCAATTGGATGGGACAAAACAAAGACAAGGAGAGAGAGGAGACACAAAGTAAGTTGCTTAAGGTTACACAGCAAATCAGTCAGTAGAAGAACTGTGAGTAGAACACAGGCCAGTTGATTCCCTAGTGCAGTGATCTAGCTAGCAGATCAAAAGATTGCCACAATTAAATAATTCACCTGGAAATTATGAAGAATCCATTAAAAGCTACACCATGAAATACGATGAGATGCAATCACTGAAAGGAGTTAAAGCCAGAAAATGAAAGGTAAAAATCTAGAGTGTAGCATGTCAAAGTACATTGGCCAAACATGAGTATTATTAATTACTATTTCTACTGTATCAGTTCCTAGGGCAAGGGATGCATCATATAAAACTACAATAGATAATGATCCTTGCCCTCCAGACTTTACAATTTTAAGAAATAAAGAAAACAAAGACTGCTAGTGGTGAGAGTGTGGAAAGAGTGATAAGCCAACAGTAGTTTACTGAGAAATGTGTTAGCTCCATCATATTTACTCTCTTTATTTTGGTTATTTTTTTAAGAAAGTCCTTTTCGGCTTTGTTCAGCATGGTAAAAAAGAAGGACAAATGAGGAAGGGAAGAACAGGGAACAGAAGGAAGGAGGAACTGAGAGACACATGGAGTAAGTGTGAACTGGAACCAGCCACCAAGCAGAATATCCAAAACCCAGCCACGTGCACCATCATAAGAACACACACTACAGCTTTTCTTACCTGCTACAGGTTCCCAATGGGGTTTTCAAGCTGTTTGGGTTTCTAATCATTTTGTCCAGAATACCAACTATCTGCTCAAACTTCGGCCTCTCACCGCGTTCCTTCTGCCAACAATCTAGCATCAGCTGGTGCAGTCCTGCTGGGCAATCCATGGGTGCTGGCAAACGATAGCCTTCTTCAATTGCTTTTATAACCTAGTAGCCAACATAGTTAATCATTTTTCATCAAGGGATATTTAAGGAATATATATTGTTACCCAGTTCAAGAAAAAAAATCAATGAATTGAAATTTGCTATCAGTGTTGCAAAAAAATGAGTCTGTTGTTTTGACACTAGCCTTCAGGTTTTCAAATAATTTCGCTGACTTTATCTTTGGGCTTATTAAGCATATTGTTCTATATGTGCAGAACATAGCTATATTACCTAGTCAAGTGAGCAGCAGGGAACAACAATTAAATTCACCAAGGGAGCAACAGATAGATTGATAAATGGAGTTATTTCAGAAAGCATTATTACTTGCCCCAAGGCTTTTATGAGTGTGTGGTAGAAGCAGCTGACTTGTAAGTGGATAGGGATCTGTGCATGCACATACAAAATACAAAAAGCCTGAAGATATTATAAAAGGATCCAAGAAAAATGTTTAGCAGACAGAAATTGTTATGGAAAAAAGTTGTATCCTATGTCTAGCCATGTTATATTAATGATAAAGTAGCAAAAATGTGCCATGTGAGAGCAGACCTGGCTGAATGATATTTTAATATATCACCTAAACAGAAAGTTAGATTTAATAAGAGATGCTGCTAGATGATGATATGATTGAAGGAGACCATAAATGACTGAATCAAGGATTACACCCACCCATTGACTTCCTTAGCCAAGTCCATTTGGATTTAAGTAAAAAATAAAAATGGATAAAGTAAAATCACAGGAAACTGCTGTAAACCTTGAGGGCAGGATAAGAAAGTACATCAGGAAACAAGGCAGATAAGAAAAGTTTGTGAAAAAGGGCTAAAACACTGTTCATGGGGGATTTCAAGTATACTGACATTGACTGACAAAGCAGTATTAGAATTGCTAAGGAAGGGTGCTTGTTCCTGAAGGGTAGTGCATAGGACTGTCTTCTCCCTTGGTTTGTACAGAAAGCAAGATCAGAAGCTGTTCTGGATGTAGCCCTAGGAAGTAGATCTGGTATGATAAATCAAGTTGGTGAATATCCGGGGTTTAGTGAAAATAATAACCTCAGATAGAAAATATTCCATAGGTTGTGTGAGAAAATGCAAAAGCAGTGGATTGCAAAGTAGACAGAACTGCAAAGAATGTAAAAGGACCTTCAAAAACCTGGCTGAAATCCATGATTTTATCAAAACCTTTTGCAGAAAAGAAGTTTTGTGAAAAGAGGAGGCCAATGGTAGGGCACTTACTGCAGGTTTTTTGTCAGAGAATGCCCTTTTGACTTCAGGGAATTTGCCTCATCTCCCTGAGCCTCAGCTTTCTATCTGGACATTTAGAATGACAGTACTGTCCTATACTCAAAAATGACTGAGAAATATTTAATTCCTGAAGTAACATCCACAGCTTGAAGAATGAGTGCTGTGACCTTTTAGAGGTAGTGAAGTTATCTGTCAGGCAGGGTGGGAACAGAAGATTTCAGCAGAAGAACAGGGAAATTGAAAGAACAGTACTATATAGGAAAGAAAACATTAAAAGTAAAATCTAAGACATTTTAGAGCAGTATTAAGAGGAAAAACAGAAGAACAGCTCCTTACACTTAGAAGTAGCAGTGGAATAAAAATGAAGAATAAGCTAAAGTGTGTGTTGGACAACTGGTGTGCTATGAAAAGTAATGCAGAAATTTCTGACCTCCTAAAAGGTAAAAAGGTATTAAATCCTTTGTGCATACTATATATGATATACTACAAACAAAACAGTTGCTTAAGAGGTCAGAATGCAGAGACAACCAATAAGGAATAAAAAAGTTTGGTAACTAACACGATCACCAAAACATCTAAGACCCGTAGAACTGGCAAATCACCTAGGTAAGACTAAATCCAAGAGTGTCAGGGATAGTAAAAACATGAATAAATGATCACGAACAGGACTTTTCCACATTAACTATGATCTGCAGAGAAAACTGAAGAGAGTTGGGAATCAAGATGATGATCTTATTTTTAAAAGGCTTTAGGGATACTGCAGAATCAGCTTCTTTGATGTGTAAACTGAGCAAGAAGAATAAAACTGGGAAGTATAAAATAACAAGTTAGCTAGAGATAGATGGAATTTCTGGGAATGTCCAAAACCTCCAAAACCATTCAAAAATATTGGTAAGTAAAGTTTATTAAAAAACCAATAAAATATTCAGAACTCGGGCACTTTGAAGGATATTGCAAGTATCTACTCTGCTAAGAAATCTGGAGGTGGGGTTCCAAAAATCAGTACTCAGAGATAATGAAATAGATGCAGGAATTATTTTTTTTTTTTTTTTTTTTTTAATAAGTAAAGCTACAAAGAACACACAGCTGGAGTTCTTCTTAATAGAATTGATTTATATTATTTACACTTCCCACAATTTTTTTTCAAAATCTGCTTTTGCTGCAAGAATAGAAAAAAGGAATACTGTTAAGTATGCTTTTATCATAATCAGGATATCTGAGGAGGTAAAGCAGATTAGAAAAGGGCCAGGTCTGTTCACTGTATATACTAGTCACCAACAAAGGAGTATTAAATATGGATAACTGGACAATGTAATGTTATCACTCTGATTCTGCGCATATAATAACAATACAAATTAATAAACATAATAATGGTAATAAATACAGGAGTACAACAAAGAAAAAATATGTAAGCCTAAACTCCTGCCCTTTTCTAAAGAACTAATCAGCACTAGGGTCAGTAACCAAATGAGAGCAAGAATTGGCAAACATCAGCAGTCCAGCAGAGGAATAGGGTAAAGTGCAGTGGTTTTGAGGGCTACTGTTACCAGCAAGGATCAAACTGAGGGGAGCCCACTGCTCAGAGAAGTTGGGGGGACTCTGTGTATCATATGTGCTAAGCCCTCTGTGCTGATGTGGAGAGCTTGTAGGATGAGTGTTCGTGTGGTGCACCCTAGCTCCCAGTTGCTGCTAAAAGGAAGATTTTTGCTTAAAAAGAGATCACAACACAAATTTGTATCCTCCATCAATCTAAAACAATGACTTAAAGAAATGCCATCTGAAGATCCAAAGTCAGGGAGACATATTTTTTAGGAGATCTGATCTGGTCTATGGTGACACCCACATCCACTTTTAGGCAAAATGGTACACTTAAGATATATAAACTGCCTGAGTGTATATGCAAAATTAGAAGAAACACATTTAGCAGTTTTTATTCCAAATACTCCCATTGGCAACTGTGAAAGAGAATAAATAACTAATAATAAGTTGATTCTAAATTTTTGCATCATTTTTATCAATGGGATTGGTAGGACATGTATATGTTTTGGGAGGATACGCTTGAAGATCACAGCATACAAGAATATTTGAAATTATTTTGCCAATCAATTCATGCACCTTTTAACTATGTGCTGTTGAAGATTATTATGTAAGATGCAAGAAGTGGTAATTAACTCTTATGAAAAAGATTAATTCATGCACTTTACTTGCAGTTTTCAATAGAGGGAATACTTTTTAAAATCCAACAGGAAGCATGAAGATGCCAAAATTTCTCCCCTATTTAAAAGTTTTTCCTTATTGTTCCCTAAAAGATAGGTAAGGTTTGCCTTTGAGGCATCTCATATTCCTGTCAGACTTCTTTTATGTTTGAATCTAGTACAGAAGGAAGGTGTCAAAAGAAATGAAACTCCACTGGGTGTCTAGGGAATGTAAATATTTCTCTTTCTCTGCCCCAAGGACTTGTTTGCCCATATTTTGACAGTCCATGAAATCTTTGACACTGAGACCTGTCAAATATTAACAACTTTGCACTGTGCCAAACTGACTCATCATTTACACTTTTATCTTTTTTTTTTTCAACTTTGATGTCAATTGTTCAATCAAAAAATAAAATAATAATAAAAAAAACCACTCAAGCCTCTGACCTGAAGAACTTTAAATGAGACTCTGACATTTTTCTCACCTGAATGGCTTTTTCCTGTGTACTTTTTATATTAATATATACTCTTGTCAGAAATCAAGATTAACACCCATCTGTCCTATTACTTACTGACCTGTTGCTCTGGGTCTTATTTTATGCAAACAAGGGTATTGTTAAATCAGCATAATTAACTTGAAAAAGCCAAAGTAGGTCATTAACTGCCACTCAGACTTTTAACAACTTTCTTCAACTGATTAATCATTGCTCTGAGGTCAGAAACTTCAGAATTATTTTTTATTGAAAAAATATTAATTTCTTCTATGTTTAGGTGTAATAAAGTGAAGAGCACATATTACTAATTTTGTTGTTCCAATTTTGATTGATACTTGGGACAGAAACCTACAATGTCCACATGGCAGAAGAAAATTTAGAGATTTAGGTAAAAAGTGAAAGCCCTGTAACCTTTTCATTTTGTGAAACCTTACAGTATTTTGATAAATCTTATTTCTAAAACTACATTTTATGTATGTATACTGAAACACATATGTATGTGTTTACAATATGTAATTTTTGTTTTTCTAGCACACACATGCGTGTGCACTCACAAACAGACAAAGTATAACCTACATCTTGATTTGACATGTCCCAGTAAGGCCGTTCTCCATATGACATTACTTCCCACATAACTATTCCATAACTCCACACATCGCTGGCTGATGTAAATTTGCGGTACTGGATGGCCTCTGGAGCTGTCCATCTCACTGGAATTTTTCCACCCTGTGAAAAAAAAGAAAACAGGAAAGTTTTCTTTTTTCTCCACAAACTGTCCATATCATCATCCATAGAGTGCATTTATAACTATTTCCATCAACATCAAAATCAGTACTTATATCATCTACTATAGTTTACCGATTGTACAATTTTCAAAGGAGTCTAAAGAAGTTTAGGCTGGACCACAGAAACTTAGGTACCTGTCCAAGCTAATTTGGATGTATTTCTCTGGAAGGCTTATCTCTCCATTGATTTTAAGGGGCTGCTTAGGTGTCTGATTTACACTAGTCATTTAACTCCTGGCTGGCTAAAGCTAGATGAGGGAAATCTCATCCTGTGTATATAAATCCCACTGAATTGTCATATGGCTCCTCTGAAATCTCTGCCTGACATTTTTAAACCAGAATCCCACTTAGAGCCCAGCAGCGGGAGTGACAGCCATGAACACTGGTGCGGTTTCCCGGATCCCTGCGCCTGTCGGAGCAGATTCCAGGGGCCCCTCCTTCCCTCATCATGAGAAAATAGGTGCAATGAGGCCTCACAGGTGAGAAAGTGGAGCTGGCTCAACAAAAGAATAAAGAGCATAGTGTGCCCGATGAATGCTTATTTAAGAAAAACGTCCCACCCAAAAGCAAGGGAAAATACAGGAGCTGAGCTTTGTCACAGTCTAGCCTCAAGCTACTCAACCTTTTGGTGAGATAAAATCTAGTCTGAAAAATAATAATAGGCCACAAATATTTTAATTAACTTATAGTAAATGAGGTGATTAAAATTTTTATGGGTAAAACTTCTGTATTTGTTCAAACAGAAAATTATGAGGAAGGGAATAATGAAGATACTGTGCTAAATTTTTATTACTTTACCAAATAAAATGTATGCTCTTACAAAAATACCAGTCCCTAATTAGACCCAGATTTCTGCAGAGACTCTTTTCCTTTTGACTGGTTAACATTTCTGAAGCAATTAATGTATTTCTCTTATCTGTACTCTCTAGAAGATAAGCTTCTTCTTAATATCCACATATCAAAACTACTAAAACCCATTGGTTTCTCTTACGGTAGTAGTGTAGACGGCCTCTGGATCATCTTCTATAACTCTGGAAAGGCCAAAGTCTGACACTTTACAAACAAGGTTGCTGTTGACAAGAATATTGCGTGCTGCAAGATCCCTGTGCACATATCCCATATCGGCCAAATATCTCATTCCAGCAGCAATTCCTCGCAACATTCCCACCAGTTGAATGACTGTAAATTGACCATCATGTTTCTGGAGGGAAGAAAGGAGCAGCAATTCTTGTTAGTATAGCTGAGAGGAGAAATAAGAATTAGTTTTACAATGTGAGCTTTCTACTTATTTACTACTTCTGTGGCAATTCATCCTGGGGCAAAGAAACTCACTTCAAACACAAGTTTTATTTTCTTCAGAGATAAAGCAGTACATCCAGTTAAGAAATGTGTGAGTAGTTAATGTACCACAAGTAACAAAACTTGATAATCACTATAAATTTCTGGCTAAGTCATGGAAAGGCTCTTTTAAGAGACATTACCTGATGCACAGCTCTTTATGTCTTTATCTGTGCTCTTCATCTCTCAGCATAATTATTTGTATCAAGAAAACAAGAACTCCCTCCTTTTGGAGCCCTAGCTACTGACAATTTTATTCATAGCTTGGAGTTTATCAATCAAACATAATCTTTCTGTTCTCTGCAGAATGTTTTTAAACCATCTCACACTGTCTTGCAGACCTCGTAAGGAGTTCAGAACACACAAGATGCTAAAAGTTGTGAATTTGCATTTCTTTTTCTTTTGTTCTTTTAAACATAACTATAGTTCAATTAGGGATGCTTGTATGATAATTCCCACCATGCTGACACAATAAAATTCTGCTCCCAATAGGCAGACTACTGGGCTTCAGGTATCAGTGGTTTTAACTTCAGCTGGTGACAATAATAAAACCCACCATGTCTATGCCACATTAAATCACTTAAAGTCCTAGAATGTTCCCATGTGATCCTGTCCGATCCTTTCATTTCTGATCTGTTTTTGCTGAAATAACAGAGAGAACTGCTAGTATTTGTCAAGCTCCATTTCATCCTGAAAACCATTTTAATTATATGAATATTAAGCATGTATATAAGCACATATATAAAACCATAATTTTAAAAGTGACAATATATCATATCATATCATATCATGATATAATATTATATCATAATGTTAAGTATGTAACTTAAAATATGTTTTTATATGTTTTCATTTTGGTACTCACCCTAAGAAATGCATCTAAGGCCCCATTCTCCATGTATTCTATTACAATCATGACTGGTTTCCCTGAAAGAAGACAGATTTTGTTTGAGAAACTGCAACACAAATGAAGTGCCTTTTTTTGATAAAACACATGTTATTCCTTTGAAGGACTGACTCATTGAGACAACGAACATTTCTGAGGCCTCCAGCACTGTTACTGAGCTCTAATAAGTTCTTAAATGTCTGCATGGAATGTGGTCATGATTCACAAAATTAAACCATACAAATCAAAATGTCAGTGTGTTCTCCTAACTCCTGCTGTGTGAACAGGACTCTGGAATAATGACACTTCAGATAATATGAAAGGACATAAGAAACCTTATCTCTCTGCATGGTCTTTGAGGCTAAATGAAACTAGAAAAATAATATATTTCAAAGTACTTCATCTTTTAATCATGCGTGCATCTTAATTTTTTTTCTCAGGTTGTAACATAAAGTAAGTATTGTTTTAGTTAGTTATGCATCAGGAGAAAATCCATTAGGAGTGTACAGCCTGCTTATAATTTGAATCTTTGACCATGAATAAGCTAAAGTAATTTCTGCCATTATGTTGTAATTTGACTGACAGATCGAGCTGCTGCTTACCTCTGGTAACGACACCTTCTAAGTGAACAACATTGGGGTGGTCAAACTGTCCCATGATGCTTGCTTCACACAGGAAATCTCTCCTTTGCTTTTCAGTGTAGCCAACTTTCAGAGTTTTTATGGCTACTGCAACATCTCTCTTGCCAGGAAGCTTTAGACGCCCACTGCATACTTCACCAAACTCTCCTAAAATGAGGAAGATCAATGCTGAGTTACTCTGACTACAATATCAAAGTCCTTTTTAGGACTTGATTCAACTAGCCACCTAAGTGTGTGTTTATATTCAATACGTGAATGTTCATATTTGAAATGGATTACTTAGAAACACAAAGACAAGCACATGTTTTAAATTAATTTCTGACTAAGTAACTTACAGAGAAAACACTTCATGTTAAGCTAACTTACAGGACTGTTATTTGAATCTTTTAAAAGACTTGTTAGTAATTAATTACATTTTTTTCATGAATATGAAGTAGCTTTCATAAGAAAATACTATTACAGAAAAAGTGATACCATTACTAAGTGAAAATATCATTCTGTTTTACATGGTTTCCTTGCTATCTCTAGATCCAATGTTTTTTTTTTTTTTTTTTCTTTCAAAAGGCAGCTCTTTTAGAGCTGCTTTTAATTTAACATCGTTATGGTGTTAAATGAAGCACTACACTATTCCCTTCAAGCAGGATAATTTACTTTGCAGATTATGGAATGAAAGGTGTGACTTATAATAATTTTGTTACATTAAACAAACACAAGCAAATGCTGGAAGTTTGTAAAAGGCTTCTAAACTAACAAACAATTGGAACTTGAAGAAGCATGTGTTAAAAATAGCCAGCCAGCCATCAAGAATACAAAAACCAAAAGCCTCAACAATCATAATTTGGGAGAGAAGTAATTGGACTCCATCGGACAGGAAAGAGGATGGAAGCATGCAAAATATGAAGCTGAATGGCAAAACATCTACCTTACTACTACTGAGTTTGTGGAAGATTTAAGGATTGTCCCTTGCCTCACAGCTATGTCAGCAGAGAGGGAAAGAGACAACCCCTATTCTGTAGACAGGATGAGAAATAACTTGAGATATATAGGAGAAAAGGGTAGTAACGTATCTTATCCTGGGTAGAGGGGAACATCTCTTTAAAAAGAGAAAGATTCATTGCAAAAAATATTTAAAGATCTGGTACTCTGCAAATTTATCTGGAGTATGGGAGATATAGATCCAAGTCCCTCCTCCAAATCAAATCAAGTCTGAAATTTATCTCCTGCATACCAGTGGAGTGCCTTAACATTAAGCTATTGAGTATACACAAGTATGCAGACACACCTACATCCAAGACATGTTTTAGGGTGAGTGCTGAAAAAAGTTATTGAATTAGGAAAGACTAACACAGGGAGTTTGGTTAGAGAATCCCTTTGGGACATAAACTGAGGTTCTGAGAATCCTGGTGGGATCAGGACTTAAGTGCACATGCACACTGGCAAGGTGCCTGGCTGGCAGTGGAGGTATGGTTGGAAATGGGGCTGCATGCCTGCAGAGGTAGATGTTGGTGTGTCTTACTGGATAAGCTCTGAAAAAAAATTGTTTAGGGGACAGTCACTATTCCAACTCTACTGTTCTCCTGTCACCCCCAACACCAGAGCTCAGAAAATGAAAAAAAGCAGTACTTGGGCTTCATCTTCGCCGTTCTCCAGCCAGAAGGGTAGAACTTTGACTGGATCTTAATATTTTCAGCCAACTTGTTTGGACAAATCTCCACTCAGCATCACTCGTTTTATGAATCCCATTGGAGATGACTGCATACAGAATCGAATTCATCTCCCTCTTGTTCTATTCTAGCTCTAATCAACTCCATATACATCTGTAAATAGTGTGAAGTACCTGAGCTAATTGGCCAGGCAGAGTACAACTGTCCCTTCCTGCACAGGTGAGGCATTAGCCTCAACCATCCTTGGACACTAGAGTTGTGATATGAATATCCATGTCACAGCTGTGAATACTGTGAGGCATAACTGTTACATACCTAACAACTACTTGCTCACACCCTTAACTTGGTGCCTTAATAGTCCTCCTGCACTTCATTAGCAATATGAATGACTATTAATTAATTCACCAGTCACCACACTCACAGCTCCTCGCCACAAGAACTTACTAAAGAATAACAACTTTCTCTAGCAGTACCTTCCAAAATTGTTTCTGCTTCATCTTGAAAATAAGAGATAAGTGTCTGTGTGTGTGTATGTGATACTTCAGAGCCAGGTAATTAGTATACTTGGCACAGGAGACACTAAGGCTTAACTCTTTTCCAGCTCTCTGTAATCTGATTTTGATTGATTTCCAAAAGCAGATCACTCACACTCAGGCAAACTAGAAACTTGAACTTGTATATTATGCATTTCAGGCCAGGATGCTAGCCAACGAACTACTTTATTCCCAAGAAAATAGTATATTCAGCTGAAATGATGCCCAAAAATGATCCAGAAAATATGACAACAAGGGTGGGAATACTGCACAGCCTCACAGCCACTAGCTCAGCATGTCAACAAGGAAGAGGCTAAAACAAAGGATATGTGGTATGAACAAGGATTCAACATAGTGGACACCATATTCTGTATCTGACAGGTGGCTGCAGCGGGTTGGTAATGAAAATGTTGGCAAGGAAAGCACATATCCCTCATGCAAACTGAGCACAAGCATACCTGCACCCTGTTTGTCTGAGAGAGACATGGCATTACTCAGTAGTTGACATGGCCAGCATTGCTGCTGCATATTGAGACTGCTAAGTGGCCTTTCTGGTGCTGTCCCTATTAGAAATTCTATATTCTTCTTTGATGTATGAGTTTCAGCTGCTTCTTCGGGTCTTTAACATTCTGTTGTTCTTGGACTTCATTTCATTTCACTCCTATTTTCTATCTACATCAACAGGTTAAAGCCACAGCTAAACCCCATACACAATATGCTTTCACCATACTGCTTTTAATTAACTTCCTTCAGAATGACTACTGACACAAGTTAGTTTTTTTGTTATCAGTTATACTCATTAAAATCAAGAGTAAATTCATCTGCAGTCAATGAAATTAACATTCTGGAATTACTCTGTCATAACAGTGAAAATATGTTTTAAACTGTATTTGCAACTGAAGCGTTTTCAGCATTTTGCTTAGAAGGCATCGTCAAAGTCCAACTGAATATATATTTGTGCTCTCAACTGTTTCTATGCTGATAGTTTCTTAACTCAAATAAAAGATAAGGCTCAGTAATTTTTCTATGCTAATCTTGATTTTAAATCTTGTATATTATGTATTTATTAGAAGAGATGTTGTCATTCTAGCATCACAAAAATTACTAGTTAGCAAGGACTGGATTCTTATGCTCTTACTCATCTGAAGGAATAATTTGCTTAACAGTGTTGTTAATTTCAATGGTACTACTTGATTAAGACATGATTCAACATGAGTGAGGTTATGTTAAAGAGGTATTGTGAATTCTAAGTGTAAAGATCTTTTTTACAGGTAAACCAGCTTATTTTAGAGACATTTCTTCTCCTCTTCTTAAATAATACCACAGTATGTAATTTACAGTGCATGCCAAGCTACAGGGTGGTTTTAAAAGTATTTTACTAATACTTTTATAAAACAACAGGAAAGCAAAAGAACATTTCCTCCAGGAATCTAAAGTATTTGATATTTTTCTTACCCACAGAAACTTAATTTCACTACATGGAGTAGTGCAATAAAAATGTCACATATCTTATTAATGCAAACAAATGAAACTGCCTTTTTAGAGCATGAACACCATGGCTTAAGTAGGTGGTAGACAGTTCAAGAGGAAGAAAAGCAATGTAATGCCGGTGCAATTACAATCAGTCATGAGAAGTTAAACAATAACTTTTTGTATTCATAAAATATCAAAAAGAAAAATGGTAGAATAAAAAACAGCCTTAGGGAAGATTTTGTTATACAGAAACAGGACCTTCTTAGTCTCTATTTAAGATTTTGTGCTGCAGCCAGCTTTCCTTACTCACATGAACAAACTTCAGAGGTCAAAAAGCCCTCTTGCAAAAGGAAAGAGAGCAGAATTTGCACTCATGCCTAAGACCTTTAGTATGACAGTAAATAATAGGCAGCAAAATTGCCCTCCTCCCCCCAATTACATTTTTAACAGCAGATACAGAATTAGAAACCCACAAGCTTTCAATGTCAAGCAAGACTCTTCATTTGCTTATTTATTTGGGTTTTGTTGCTTTTTTCCCCCCTGTTTGTTTTTACATTTTAGAAGTGAGTGCAGCTTCATTGCTCTTAACCACTCTGGCAAATGCGAAAAGTTCTTCTACACTTGAGGTATAATTATTTGCCTGTCATTATGATGTATGAGTTTCGATCCCAGCTAAATGAAACAGTTGAATCAGGAAGCCACGGCAGCCTTACCTGCACCAATCACACGCTCAATTTTAATACAAGAGGCATCTAGCTCCTTGGCGAATTGATGGACAGCTCTATTTGGGTCCTCGTAGGTTTCAGGGTCAATGTAGGTTTTGGTGCCTGGAAATTTAACTGTAATGATGTAAGAAAGCATGACTGTGATGAAGCAAAGGCACTTATTGTGCAGTCAGCCCAGGAATTTCATTATGCAGAGTGCTCCTTGGAAGAGTGAACCTGCTTCCACACTGCCTGAGTTAGAGCTGCCGTGAGAGGCAACCTTAGTTTTAGGCATCATCTGCAAGCATGCTGACACAAGTACACAATCCCATCTCTAAAAATGACTAGCATTAGCATCTGCATCTCCACCTTGAAGTGAAAGAAGTAATAAATATTAAATAGTGCTCAATGGAATAAAATGCAAGGGTTGAGTGGGTGTAAAAATAAAGCAGGGGAAGGGGTATAAAACCAGCAGAAGAGGTGAAACTTTATTTTCTGTGTAAGGACAGCTTATCCTATTTTCCCAGGTTGCGTAAACAGCATTTCTTTATGTTATCTCTGTCTTCTAGTGGGATTTGAAAGGCTCCTCTAGCTATTCCAATTTGCTTAAGCTACTGAATATAATATTTACAGACTGTGGCAATAGTCAAGCTGAACTATTCACAGCACTTAGAATTTACATCCTCAGGTATGTTTCTTGCACTAGAATATGAACATGAGAAACACTTTGTAGTCAACTTGTAAAGGCACAAGAAGGGAAAGTAGGCTCTGTGGCACAATTATCCCCTCTCTCAAACACCTAAGTGAATAATATACAACAACTTGGGTTTTGCTCCCTCTTTCTCCAGTATAGACTTAGTGCAACTCAGGCAGAGCAGCATTCTGGCCAGCATATAGTTTTTTTCCTTAGTTTGCTGCTGATTGTGGAAAATTATTTTTTGCTCTTCTGGTGAATGTAGGAACTTCTTGTGAAAGTAGAGCAACCCTGGAAATCTATTAATCAAGCAATTTTTATGAAATAAATTTGGCTCACAAGGATTACATTCCTAAGCTTTAATTAAATCAGTGAATTAAAACTCCATATGAAAATGCAAGAATGTTCCTCTGCTAATTGATATACAAGAATAGGATCAAAAATCAATACAAAACATAAATAATTTATGGTTGTTTTTTAATATTTTAATTGCAAATAGAATACATTAAATTTGAAAATATATTGAAAAATGGCTTAGTAATCATGTGTATTTATGTTTCAGATTGTATTACTCACCAAAAAACCCCCAGACTCTCATAAGAAGGAAAAAGCTAGAGAAATTGTTTGTGTAATCTATTTACAACTAGATAAATTTTTTGAAATGTTGCCTAGATGTTATTATCTGCCATATTATGTACGTAAATAGATGTTCTTCCAACAGTATTGATAATGCTACAAATTTCTAGATTATAAATATTTATTTCTTAAAACCAGAAAAGACTATAGAAAATGAGAAGAAAGCAATAGGTTAAACTCCTATAATAGTGCTTTCAGGCAGGGAGATGGAGAAGGAGCCATCCTCTTGTGTTTGTGGTAAGGGGCCTGGATTGGAGGTAAACTTGCGAATCTCAAGTGGGCCTCTGGTGGTTCTTTATTCAAGCTGTCATAAAACATTTTGACAGGCCAATGCTATCCTGGCATACTGATGTGAAATAATCCTGGCCTGGATTTGAAGACACTGTTAGAAGAAATGGTAGAAGGAAACCAAATATAAATCTGAATTCCCTGACTAAACTCCTCCACTGCAGTTGTATCTTCAAGTGTAGCACTTGAGGTCACAGAGAGTTGAGGGGGACTGAAATGAAATATATGGCACTCTACTAAATACAGTGCTTGAAAACCTGCTTTAAAAAAAATAGTTGCTTCAAAGTTTTTGTGTTAAGTAAGTGTTTGTTGTAAGCTACATTTTTGAAAATCTAATGTGGTACCTCAGCACAGAAGAAGGTTGTCTAGATATTATGGAGCAAAAGGACAACGAAGTGGTATTCACAGCTCTGTGACCAAGCTGGTGACCACAGCACTGGGTTCCATCTCATTCTGTACATGGTTATCAAATAAAATTAAATACTACACCTTCAATGAACATATGATGAAAAACGAGCTTAGCAAAAATTGGTTTATATTTGGTGTTATGATTTAAAAAAGACTGTGTATGCTAACCGTTCTGACTGATTTGCTGGATAACCAGATTTCTTGAAAGTAAAATGAGGGAAATGAACACTTATAAAATCTCACCTTTTCTGGATCAACTATTAATCATTAAGTAGCAGCTTTCATATTAATTCATTTACACTTTCACTGAAACAAAAAAATGTCACCAATAATGGAGAATAGGAAAGGAATTATTTAGCTAGCATATTCCTTTTGTTTATATACTGACATACGAGAATACATAGTGGATCTTTTCCTTCAAGGACATAACGGTGATTTCAAAAGTGAAAGAAGTAGCTCTTCTGAAGACGTGAAAAGCTTATAATGCATCTATGCGAGACAAATTTCAAATCCATCATTCCCAGAATAGTAACATTTAAGTAACATCAGATTTGTGATGAATTCTTTAAAATCAGCTGCACTGCAAAGTGCATGATAAATAATTCTTATCCCATTATTATTTTCCATCTTTCTTGCACAGACTATGAATTGATTGACTAAAGCTGAAATGATGTCACTACCTAGTTTAATACTCTCTGCATTTAAATGATTTAGGTAGCAACACACCCAAACTCAGGGAGCATGGACAAATTCCAGCTGGTCTGATTTTTTCAGGGCAGAAAGGTGAAACAGAAACCTTGATCTGATTTTGAGTAGAGCTCCAGTTAGAACTACTCATTTAAAGAGGCATACATTGAGAAGATGCTATGAATTTGTGACTAGTGGCTACTTCATTACATTCTGATAACAGTTCACAATTTTAACATATGTAAAATAAGATAAGCCATATGGCTTTTATAAAAAAAATAAAAATCTGATAGATTTAAGCTACAGCTGCAATTATTGTTGGACAGCAAAGGCTACATAATGTATAGCATCACTAAATGGCAAGTTCTATTGATATGAGAGATACCAGGTTTTGGCTCGCACAGTGTTAATGTTCTTTCTAGTAGCCGGTACAGTGTTGTGTTTTGGATTAAGTATGAGAATAATAATACACTGGTGTTTAATTGTTGCTAAGTAGCGCTTATCGTAAATTAAAGTTTTTTTTTTTTTCCAATGCTCTGCCAGCGAGGAGGTGCACAAGGAGCTGGGAGGGATCATGGCCAGGACAGCTGACACAAACTGGCCAAATGCATATTCCATACCATGAAATGTCATGCTCAGTATATCAACTGGGGGAAGTTGGCTGGGAGGGGCAGATCCCTACTTAGGGACTGGACGGCAGCTGGTGAGCAATTGCATTATCAGTGTGAGTCCCAGACCCACGATGACCCTGGGATTAAGAGTTCCATGCTCTACCAGCTGAGCTAGCCAGGCCCTGTGAGTTTTTCTTTTTTTTTTTTTTTCTAATTCTCCTACCCATCCTACTGGGAGGGGGAAGGAGAGAGGGAGTGGCTGCATGGTGCTCAGTTGCTGCTTGGAGTTAAACCACCACACCTGGTATGGGAGAAGACTTGAAACCCAGGCATTGTTCTGTCTCAGAACTGTTATTTACTTTAATTCTGTTATGTGATTTTGCAATTCGGAATGCTCAAAACAATTTTGCAATTTAGTTTTACCACACTTCCTCAGTTAATGACTGATTCTAAAAGAAATTAAAACATTTTTAATTTTTTCATGTCAAAATGATATTCCAACTGAAATGGGAAATGGCTAAAATAAGAAATTTTTAAACACTATTTTGATAAAACTGAAACAATTCTTGCATAAGCCTTTCACTCCTCTTAAATTTTCACTTGTCATTAACCCAAGAATGATGTATTTTATTGAATTTTCCCAGGGTTCTAGCATAAATTCAGATGGTAGCTGTGATTTTAACAGGAAGCTTTAGGTGCTACTCTTAGCTAGGCAAGTGATTCTGGAACAGAAAGCAGTAATGAACTGACCTTTTTCTTCATATTAAATATTCTATTTTTAAGGACATTGTGTTTTGTAAATATTGATGCTACCGTATTCACAGGAGCAGAAAACAGCTTTTGAGCAGAAAAGCTTTATTGTTAGGGTGATGCTGTGACCCACACTTTCTTAATCTGAAGTTTATCTGAGGTAAAGATCATATAGTCAATTAGGTCTCAGAAACTGCACCTCAGAGGGATCATTAGGGTGGTGTGTAACATATATTCAGAGCATCCAAAAAAGAAAAAAAAGCAGAATGAAAACAATAGAATATCATACACATATATAGAAATAAAACCGTCTGTGTGAGCAATGTTGACTTTAATCTGCATTCTTTTTGTGTAGGTCACATTTTTACAGTGTTTAACTTCCCACTTGCTATTTACACAGCATTTTTTGAATTTCTTATGGCTTTGTCTTTCATGGAGTGTTGTTTTAGTATTATCTACACTACTGCAGTTGGGAATTTTTGAAAGGGGGGGAAAAAAAAGCAAAACACTTACAATGAAAGTAAAGTTCTTCATCCCCTTCTTGATCAGCTTTGCTATAGCCACAATGCCTGAAACAAAAGACACCAGTTTTACTGGTAAATAATGATTTACTTCCTCACATCTAAAGTCCTGACAACATCAGTTCTGCAGGCTGGGATTATCAGGCACTCAGCACCTAACTCCTGTAGGCCCTTTGAAAGTTTCGGCTACAATTCTCTTGACAGCAGAGTTTTAAATAAATCATGAACAGTTGCAATCAAAAGGCTTTTGTATCAAATACCAGTTGGGCCAGGTCCTAAAGAGAAAATTCTAGTTCTAGTGAAAAGCTTCTATGGATAAAACAGAGGATTAAAGAACTTGAAAGCAGAAAACTGTTTTACATGAGAGTATTCTTAAATTTACTGCTGTGCCTCTTTTTCTTGAATGTAAAGTCATTTAAAGGCTGATCAGATAAAGTGTCAGACTTCTCCACATGAGAAAACTGAACAGAAAGAGGGACTTTAAGGACTACAAGTAAAGAACCTGCTAGGGGTTTCTTTTACAGCACATACATAAAACAGAAAGAACACCTTGATTTAAGTGTGTCTTGACAAAATAAGAGGACAAACAATGTAATAGATAATGGGATTTAAATGAAAATTGTCCTTATTAAAAATTAGTTCCATTTCAGTTTTGCAAATTACTATCCCAGATTAGACTATGTCTCAAGAGTTCACAAGAGTGGGGTCAGATGTGTTTATGCCTATGCAAGGTGCAATACCTTCGCCCGATGATGAATCCAAACACCATGAAGACCAGAATGATGGTTCCTGCTACAGCAACTACAGCTATGATAATAACAGGATTCTGTTCACTGGAAACAGCTGTGGCTACAAATGGAGCACAGAGCAGAGATTAGTTTAAAATTATTCCACAATCATGAACTGCAGACTGTTAGTTTACCTTTGCCTGAAATTATTACATTGATAAAATTAACCTAAAGAAGGGTCTCCACTGGAAAGTCATCCAAATGCTGGATGACTTAATCATCATCTACAGGGAATAAAAAGGAGCTATGCTGGAATTGACTTGGCCAAAGTGATACAGCCATTAGCCGAAGGCCAGCACCAGCACCAGCCACTGCCACTCCTTCTTACTGCTGCGCAGCCTTCTGTTTTGCTCTGCGGTTGACTCCTTCCTAAAAGGGAAGACCTGGATATCCTTGTAAGGGGGAGAGCAGGGGAATAATCCCTGAAGAGCTCTGCTTCTAGCCTCCTCTTTAAAACTGGCTGATATGACTTTGATGGTTCCCAAAGAAATAGTGTCTTAACTATAAGAAGAATGTTTGAGATGAAACACTATTCACACAGATTTCCTAGTTAGCATATTTCTATCTCTTCCTGCTATTAATCATTGTAAACTGCTATTATTAATTATCATTTGTTTCTGTTAGCAATGAAAAGGCACTTCCACGTATTCAAAATGGAATTCTCCATGCTTCAGAGAATTTACATGCTAAAATAGCCACACATTATTGCTCTTTTTATTCAGATATGTCAATGCTATTAATATATGCAAATGTATGCATGTCACATTAATGTCAACTGAGGATGTAAATACTTAGCCTGAGAAACCTTAAGGTTTGTTAAATACATTGCTTGCGTGACATCTAATAAGGGTGGCCATGTACTCAGTCACATTAAATGTACTCAGCAATACTGAACTCAGTGGAGCTATGCTGGTTTGTAACAGTAAGGATCTAGCCCAAGAGACTGAGAATAAAGGAGACATGAGGCAGTGATGCTGAGAAAGGGACTGTGAAAGTGTGAGTCATCTGGAAGCAGCAGAGTGATAAAAGAGAAAAAAAAAAAAAAAAAAAAAAAGGAAACCCAACTGATAGCTGATTAACTAAATTGTAGATGGTCTATTAATATGGTGAACTGCTGGTAGTGGTAACTGCACAGGAATGTCTACATGATGATGTTATGAATTCCACAGAATCAGGTTCCTGTTGCAGTCTTCAGAGGTTCCCATAGAAACAAATAAACCAGTCTTTTCTTTGCTCTGTCCTGGGATAAGTGAGCCAATCAGCACGATTTATATTGACACTGACCCTGACCTGTACCAACTGTTTCACCCCAAAACAACAAACCCTTTGTTATACTACACAGCTATATAACAATCTTCACTCAAGAGATATTCCTGCCCCCCTCTTCAATTTTATTTCCTAAAGACACTTTATAATTTTTTTTATGTTCTACCTAATACAGGTGAGGAAGATCTCATTATTCATATTGAACTTTAACTGGTAAGAACAAATGCTTGTCTCTAAGCAACTATAACTTTCTGAGATACCCAGGTCAGTAGGATGCTACTGCAGACTGTGTATATCCCACTTGTGGAACTTGTAGGAAATCAACGGTCACTATCTTGTGCAAAAGTGTAGGGGCATAAGTAGTAAAACTCAGTTCCTGTAACATCACCAGGTCATCAAAGCAGACAATCCCAAACAGTGTAACATTTATGTAAAATACAGCATTTCCTAATGCTGTTCTCTTCTCTTTTTGAACTTCAGTGCAAACCGCACTGGAAGTCAAGAAGAGGCATCATCCTATCACAATGGCCAGGGTGAAAAGCTGCATTAGATGTTCCAATCCAGCAGAGTTTGGAAAAATACCCAGCCCAGCCTCTCACCTAATCTAGCAGCCAAGTTGAGTGCATAGAGGTTGACATATGTGAGTGGGTTGCTTTGTATAACTGCCTTACAGATCTTGGGTACTGGCACATTTTGGAAGCTAGCCGAGGGTGTTATTTGGGCTCTGGAAAATGTTGAGGACATGCTACACTCTCCAACTGGTAAGATAGATGGGGTGCAACGTATGATGTATTTTTACATCCCTAAAAAAAAAAAAAGGTTTGACTCTGGGCATGGTCTGGTATGAATTCAGTGACAGCAGTCTAAGACCTTTGCCTCTGCCTCTGTTTAGCTTCTCTCTTCTGTGTGGTGAACTCGGTCTGTTAGTGTAAGGGGGAATCAGAACCCAGCTTCTGGAACTATCATTGCGGTTTGGCAGAAATAAAGATACCAGAGTGTTCTTAGAGGAATGATTTTGGGGTGCGGATGATCCTTTCAGGGGCTGCGTGGCATGGTTAGCTGTCACTGGTACTGCCACAGTGGCAATGGCAGGGAACCACCAGCAGGACAGGGAAGTCTGGCCTTACCTCTGCTTAAACTATGCTTAGACTGAGAGGGAGAGACGGGGACCTGGTACCCGGGCAATCAGCTGCAGCCGATACCTAATTTGGAGTTATGATATTTGCATATCCAGATGAATGAGGCAATGACTAATTTAAAGGAGATAAAGCCACCTTTTAAATATATGGTTGTAAGGATGGAGAATGAATATTCAAACACCCTGGAGGATTTAAAAAAGATCAGCTGTAAAGGCTGTGCTGTTCCTCCAGTGACATTTTCTTGTGCAAGCAACCTGAAATGTATGATTTGCAAAAAAGAATTCCTGATTAAGTCCACTGTGAAAGCTTTAATGATAAATTGGATTCATGTAGGCCAAATATTACTTTCTTAAATGTTATGCTTTATGTCTTCTATAAAAATTTGTAGTAGTGTTATTCCAGACATTAGGAATAAATTTTACATGAGCATGTTACTTCAACTTTGCTTGACTTAAACTGATTCATGGCAAAAGGAAAAAGCAGTGTCTTCCTCATGCCAGGTTGTGCTGAGTCCTTTTACTTTAGCAGTGAGAGCTGTAACAAGTGGCAAAATGCCCTTCAATTACAAAAAGCACATGATCATCTTTAGATCCACTGGCTAAAAGTCATTTAATATAACTTTTAAATATTTCAGTGAATCAAAAGATAAAATTACCACTTAATTGATATTTTATGCATTTACATTTTCTTCCTGAGGCACTTCCATCTCTAATAACCAGCAATAATTCAAATAAAAAAATATAATGATTAAAGTATTTTGATCTGGGGCAAACACAATATAGACTAGAAGTATCATCCCTTTATAAAGCATTTTTACTTTATAATTTTGAAATTTTCAGTAAACATGTATGGAATGCCAAACACGTATGATATGTGCAAATGAAGGTATAAAATATGTGTATTTTACATAACATAATATAATGTCTATAATTCATCAAACATTGAAAAGTGACCATGCAGTTTCTCTCACAATTCAGGAACTAAAACACAACACAAAAATCTACTTAATGAGCAACACCAACCAAAAGGTGCCAACCAGTTGAAGTGCCAAGAGAAATTCAGGTGGGCAACATGACTAGCTGACTGTGACGGTCACTATATATATTCTTACATAAATATATATATATATATGTGCATATAAATATTCTTACATAAATATATATATGTGTGTGTATATATGTATACTCTAACTATATATCTATTCTTAAAATACTTTGACATATTTAAAAGCTGCATTCAGAAATCCACTGGAATAATGAGAAACCAATGCCTCTAAACTGCAATATAACACTGGTTTACTGTTCACCTGTACAGTACTTCACTTGAGGTACACTTCTTAAAAATGATCCAATAAATATCTTCCTTTAAAATGTTAATAAAAGACTAATTTGATTAGCCTGCAAGTTCTGATAAAACTATAAATAAATTATAAGAAACAAATATTTTTGTGTAAGACAATTCTAGAAGAATTCAGTAGAATTTACTATCTTTTTACCAACAATTTAATTATTTCTGAAAACTGTATATGGAAAATTGTGGATGCTTATCCTTGATGCAAATTATATTCTATAAGGTCCTCTCAAGATAATGGAAAATATGCAACTTTAAAAATTTGCTTTAATGAAAGCACAGGACATTTTGCATGGCATATCAAAACATAAAGCTGTCCTGTGAAAAGAGAAAAATCTACTGTGCATACTGGTTGAGTATGTTGATGGTTTATATGCAGTTTTTCATCACCTAAGTCAGAAAAAGGGTGCATAAGTGTGGTCAGTGATGCATTTATTCTAGGTTTTCCTAATCTTCCATATGTTGACCAAACTCTAGGCTAGACTCTTTACCTCTGAAATTATCTTTGCTAATCCTAGCACCTACCAATATGCTTAAATTCAGTATATAAAAAATACTCAGTTAATTAAGGAAATGCTGGGGAAATATTTTGGTCTGCTAATTTTAAATCACTCTGGACAATAAATTAACTAATTAGCAGAAACTTATGACAGATTATGATCAACTTTTAATGTGTTTTCCAGAAATCTACTCAAAATAAACAATTACTTCTGGCTGTACCTCAGGTTCTCATTCTGCAAAATGGGGATTCTGTTACTGACTCTTGCTAAACCAGAACTCTACAGATGGCAAGTATGCTATCAGACACAGAGCTAGTAATATTAGTAATAACACTTTATTGCTGTTATTATGATAATTACTATTTCCATTATGTCTATTAGATACGTGGTATTGTTCCTTATTGATAGTTTTCATAATCTGTGTGGAACCAAGGTGGAATCAAGACCTAACTACTGTGTTTTAAGATCACCCACAATTTGTTCAAGCGACATCTGTCTGCAATTAATAAGATGCAATAGTGTGTGTCCACACCTTATATATGCTGCATGGAGAGCAGTGAGCAGAGTTGGCATCATTACTCTCTGAACCTGTAGGCTAGGCATTCTCAGCTCCAGATCTGGCTGGCCTGAAGAAAATGACCCAAAACAGAGGAACCAAATTTGGGGCTGTGACAGAGTGGTGAAGTCCCCGGGAACACATGCAGTTCCTGTGAATGGGCTCATGGCTGCAAAGTCTCAGTGATGGCAGAGTTTCTTTCCGAAGACCCAAAATGTGGAAGATTTTCTCTAAGCATGCATGTACATATTTAGGCTGGTGAAGAAAAAGGGCATCAATGTGACTTTTAGACAAATAAAGGCACAAGATTGGTTTCAGCATCAAGGAAAGAGCAAGCTCTCCCAAAATATTATCTCTCTGCTGAGATGTCACAACCAGATGTCTGGTGTGCTGTACTGAAAGAATTTGTACTTCAGCTTCATACTTTCTTTTCTGAGGGTTTTTGAGAGGTTGTTTTTTATTTACACAGCCTACAACATATTACATGAGCCTTAAAGAAAGCTAGTATTTTGAAACCTCCGTTTCTTTACTAAATCAAGTTGAAACTAGTCAATGAACTAAAAAGACACTAAAGATGGACATATAGTTTAAACAAGACACACACATAAGCAAAACTATAAAGAGTTTTTTCAGGAAATCAAAAAAGGAAAAAATGACCTGGATAAGCCCCTGTGGGCTGAAATCTCATCTTACCTCCTCTCCCCAGTTACAGAAGAATCTATTAGTTATTCAGCTCACCACTACTCACTTCTCTTGTGGGCTAAAGAGGTGTGTATTAAAATGAAAAAAAAGTATTTTTATTTGTGTTAGAATGACATCAGAGGAGAAGAACCTGTTATGTTACAAACCTTTTCCAGCTAATTAGAAGGGTGTAATTTGTAGTTCTATGGCAAAACAGCTAATAGAAGATCATCCGTCAAAATACAGTGACAAAAATCCACCTTCATGTAGAACTTCATTCTTTCTAGTTTTAATAATATTGACTATGACTCTTTCCTTTCTGGCTTTACTTACTATTTACTACTACTAAAATGTTAATTTCCTATAAATCTAATTGTTTACCTGTGGTTTCTTCTAGTGTGGCAACATCCAGTCTGGGGCTGTAATTTCCATAACCAGCAGCAGTAAAAGCACGAATCTGGAAAACATACACTGTTCCTGGCTTTAGGTTATTAATAGACGCTGAAGTGGACTTGGTTTTCACTGTTGAATAGGTCCTCTCCCTTTGATCCTGAAAACAATAAGATTAAATGACATTTACAGGTCAGATTTTACCATGGTTGCACATCAGCAACTGACAGCCAGCCTGGGTAGTTTATTTCAATTTGTTGAATGCTTTTTTTCCCACCATAAAAAATAAAGCATCCTCTGTGGAGTATTGCAAAACACTATCAATGCAATGAGGAGCTCTAAGTGTAACATAAAATTCAAATGGGATGCTCGTGTTGTTACTCATAAAACATCCAGACATAAAATGATTGCTTCTTTGGCTCTGATTACCTTTTGTGAAATTTTGATGGGAAAACAGCTTGACCACAGCTTGCCTGGGGGATCTGTGGGGTCTAAACAACTCAAGGACAGGGAAATCTGTCCTTTCCTGGTGAAAACAACTTTCCTTGTTACCTTACAACACCTTTAAGAAACACAATACCACCAATGTATAACTGGCTGGATTTTGCACCAAATTCTGAGGTCCTTAACTCAGTTTTCACATAGTTTTGTTTTTCTTTTTTTTTTTTTTTTCCCCCTCTGGCTTTTAGTCTTTTCTCAGGTTTTGACTCAATGACGTCAAGAAGAACCAAGGGAATGAAGCTCAGTATGACAACACCCAAATTTTGAAGCTATAAGATTACAAACCCTATGGGTAATAACTCACTTTCAAATACTACAAAAGCTGAATCACAGATCATTACAGTACTCAAAAAGCTCTACTTATTCATCACATTTAGTGATCCAGATCCTCTTTCAGCATAGATACGTGCACCCTTGTTTACTTTTGGTGGCAGATGAAACCCTGATTTTAAGGGCAGAAGAGATGAATTAACCATCCATCTGAATGCACGCCATGACCAGAGGAGCACAAGCTGTATGAGGCAGTGCTAATGAGACAGATACAGAGGGAAGGAATAAATCTGTAACTCATTTCAGTAGTACTTCTCCAGCTAAAAATGATGAGGAACCTTTCCCTTTCCAGTCAGTAAAGCAGCAAAGGCTTTTGCTGAAATACAGGGTTAAATACAACATACATGATTTCTTTTCTGAGATACAGTAATAGCTTCTCCTGGGTCTCACCCAGTCTGTCATTTGAGCAAGCCCACCAGCTCAGCTAGCAACAATTTTTCATATCTTCTCCAAGAGGGTTTAAATCATCTGTAAGTGAGGACCATGGTAGAATGTGTGTTGGTATGTGAGAAAGAACAGGAATGCTTGAGAGATGAGAAACAAGTGTAAGGAAACCATAAACAGTCAGGTTTGGGACTGTAAGCCACAGTGGAATTTCAGAGTTTGGGTTTTGATGCATAAATGAAGATCATTTAAATTGCCAACAGTTCTTGCATTCAAAATAAATAAGTAACAAAGAAATAAAAATAACCTGCACTAGAAATCTCACAGGACAGGCTTACTTGGGAGATTTCAGGCAGTTTCCATTCCAGCCCTAGCCAGAAGTGAGAGGTGAAAAAAACACTTATCAGAATGTTTCAGAACCACAAAAATGTTTGATTTAATTTGATTCTAAAAGGAGCTGAAAGTTCAGATCTTTTTTTTTTTCCTTTTAAACTAATGGAAAAAAGCTTAAACTGCCTCTCTTGTTCTGATCAAGAAGCTTATGAAGAACTTTTCAAGCTGAACTACATTATTTTGGAAGGAATACAAGCATTTAAATATTTGTGTTAAAATTGTCTCACTGAGTTAAACGTATATAGTCCAGTTTATCTGTGATTGATTGTAGGATGAGCTTCTTATTCTCTGCAAAACTGGTAGGTTTCCTTCCATTACAAAAGAACTTTAACACCAGTTCTCGTCATTACAAACATAGGAAACTGGTAATGAATATATAGGGGAAATAATAAAAGCCACAATCTAAAAGCTATCATTATATGAAAGGCCTAGTATCTTGGTAAATTTACTGTCATTTTCCACTACTTATTTAAATTATTTACTGCCTATTAAAAAAAAAAAAAAAAGTTTTTTGATTTTTAGTTTTTTTTCTATATTTTTATGCAGAGAACAATTTTGGTTTTGGTAAATATGTAAACTTTTTTTTTTAAAAGTGCATGGGCTTTATTTATGGGTGTGCACACATGCAAATGCTTGAGAAACAGAAATTACCTGCTAAAATTAGTAAAATTTCTTTTAAAAAATTGCTTACCTATATGTACATATCTGGTAAATTTTGTTATAAGAATGATTAAGGTGAACAACTTAAACTGAGAGTTAGCATCAACAAATAAACATATTATTCCCTTCCCGAATCACATAAGGATCTTTTGATAAGTACATTTGTATAATTCAGCACTGAAAATTAGATGTGACACTTGATACTAGATCCAATCTGGTCTGAATTTACCTAATTCTATGTTACCTAGTAAACTGACATGCACTTTTTGATATAGAGTTACTATTACCTTGTTTGCAGAGATAAACTGTCTTCACAAGTGATCACAAAGGAGCTCCTTTGTTCACTTTGCATTTTAATTCATTGTTTTTTCTCCCAGAATGTTTTATAAAAATTAGGAATATGTTACATGCTGCAGTAAATTTCCCAGGGAATCTGAAGGAGCCTCACTTAGTCTGGGTCCCGTGACAAATATATAGCTGCACAACCTGCGTCACCCTGCTTTCATCCAGCTTACAGTTGCATGTGGCCCTACTTATATGCTTGTCAGAATTTTTTTATTCTAGAGTACTTCAAAGCCATCATGAATGACGCCCTAGACACGCTGCAATGAATGGCAAAACTCCAACTGACATCAATAAGATTGCAATTTCACTCTACCAGAAACAGAGATCACTTAATCTACTATTGAAAAGCAGCCCTCAATTCATTATTGTGTTGAGAGAACAAGTGAAAAATAAATTTCACAATGCTGGGACTTTTTAAAAGGACAAATGAGGAATATTTATCAGCTGAAACTGCAGGAATTGCTTTCGAAGTTTTGAGACACAAAGTTGAAACTGCCCAGCTCATAAGGAAATATCAAATGCAGTCAAGAGTTGTATTTGATATATCATCTCAAGACTGGAATTACAGTGACACAGAAGGAAATGAAGCAAGGTTTAAACACAATGTAAAAGAGACAGAAAAATAACAAATATGGTAAAATATCCAAGTCCAACTTAACAGTAAAAAAAAAAGTGGAAGAAAAAAAAAAAGGCAGATTTCAAGTGGATATTTCATTTTTAGGATACCAAAATACAATATATGAGACATATGATAGCAATAATAATTGCAGGGATTCCCTAGTTACTAAAAATGAGTAAAATCACTGTGACTTTGAAGAGATAGGAGAGTTGCTGGCTGATGGTTTTAACATTGTTCCACAACACAGCAAGCCAACATGAAGCAAACAGCACATTGTTGTACATTACAGATAATCTCAGCACTTACTTTCTCATAATACTTGATTTCATATTCAGTAATGACTCCATTGGGATGTTCCGGTTCCTGCCAGGAAAGCTCCACGCTCCTCTGCAGCACTCTCTCTTTCATTACTCCACTAACTTGCGAGGGAGCTGTTTGGACAAGATGTGTCAATAAATAAAAAGCAAATTTGTTGGATGCCTAAAATCAAATGTCATTACTGATCCACCCCATGCCGAGCCACTTTCATTAAGGTAAAAGAAAGCACCTTTTCATAGCTCACAATTCAAAGCTAATGAAAATTCAAGCAGGACCCTATTACTGTTCATAAACTCAGAATGGAAATCGAATTAAAGTGCAAACAGCAAAAGGTGGTATTGTTCAAGTTAGTACAAAACTAAGATTGATGGGATAGGAATAACAACTAAGCAAATCAATTCTGATTAAGAGAGCAAAGCAGATTTTTAGATTGATGTGCAGTAAATTAAGTCTAAATATTTATTGCATATATTTCTGAAATCCGCATAAAAAGAAAAATAATGTTTTAGAAACCAAATCACATTTTAGGCTGATTTCATATAACTGATTTCAATTCTGCTTAATAAATATTCTGTCACACTATCTGATTACGACATGACTTGGTGATGAAGACAACTTTGTTAAGAGACTAAACCCCTTCTTTTTCATTAGTTCAAACCTTCCCAAGCCATTCTCTCTTTAGAGCTGAAGTTTCCTTATTTGGTCTTGGCATCTTTTGAAAGTGTGAGACAATTTAAAAAGTAGATCTTGTGAAATAAAGCGGACACTGTCTTCTTCCAGCTCCCTGTGCAGAGACATACATACATGCATGCTTGCATGCATACACACATACATGCCGTTTCCTAACAAACATCACCCACAAACAAGCACCTTTTGGAATCAGAAAAAGTCCCACAGCAATGTACAAGCATTATAGAGCCACTGGCTCTGATTTAAAAATGTTTAAGAGATAGACTGAAAAAGTAACTTGTTTTATCAGCTTATCTCATGTTTAACAAAAAAGTTTTCTGCCGATGTGCAGTTGCAAAGGAGGCCAAATATTGCACTTTTCCTCAAACATACATATTGCCTATGTGACTGTAGCACAGAAGTCTTCTAAAACCATAGCTCTCAGCTATGGCACTGGAACCATGCAAAACTTGATCTTCTTCTCTTTCAATTCAATGGAAATAATTCAAGGGTGTAACAACACTTATGCAAAAGATAAATAAAGAGAGGACCTGATCCTCAGACCCCTGCAGTTAAAAGACAAATGACATTTATATGTACAGGAATTTGGTCATATTCAGAGAGCAGATTCAGACACAGGAAAAGAAATTAAAATTAGAGATAAATTTATTTATAACTTTTTCAAGTATACAATCTGGTACCGATTCTATAATTGAATGTTTGTTTGAACAAAAATTCTTGCAATTTTAACTTTTTTTAGGTAAAAAAAAAAAAAACAACCTAATTTCAGAACTCTACATAAATCTTTCACTATGCAAAATGATGAACAGTCTTCAGATAAAACAGTATTCTTATCCTATGTAACAAGTAGGTTCATTTAACTTCCTCTAATTTAAAGAACACAGAAATAAAACATGTAGTATGCACACCTATGTAGCACTAAGGATAAAAAAATAATGATAAAGTAAAAATATTTACAGCACGATAAAGACAATAACCCTCTAAAAAACTTGAAATTTGATTGTTAAATTCTTATTTTAATTGTGAAGTTTCTAGCCTTTTTTGTTATAACATGTATATTCATGTAGGTTTTTAAATTAAATTTATTTACATTTCATTAGAGGCTCCAAGAGTCCATGAAAATTAAGGATTGAAGCCATGCATGATAATTTTCATTATGAACTATTATGTTGTATATAATCAATATAATCAAAGTTGAAGACCTCTTAATGTAGGCTGCCTAACTGGTAAAATCATAAAATTGTATCATGCAAACACCATGGGTTGATACACCATTCCAAAGCCGGGATGGCTCTCTTTCACTCTTCTTGTATTCTCTTTCTAAAAGCTTAGAGTATTTTCACTCTCTAATTAGTGAAATATATTATCTTTTGTAGCTAAGAGTCTGGAATGCAGCAAACTAATTTACTCTGTCTAGTTTTCTCTGTTGTGATTAACTAGTTGTCTTCTTTGTCTAAATGAGTACTACAGCATCCTGGCTGAATTTCAGAGAGGTCATTATGTTTCATGTATAATGTTCTATATCATCCAGATAAATGTTTTCAAATTGTTAATTTTACATTTTTAGATGTCCAAAATTGTTAATGTTCATACTTATCATGAAACAATCTTATACTACCTAGATTACTGGAGTTTGTTCTCAACATTCACTGTCTTTTATTTTAGCATATCAAATTTTTTCATACCATTGGTCATAGCATTATTTTTTTTTAAGCAGTGAAGCAAATGAACTTGCTTCCTCTGGTATTAGTTAACTCTGCGTATGTGGGGAAGGAACAGCAATGCAGAGAAGGAAGAACAGAGAAGGGGGAAGATTTTATTTGAGGAAGTGAAATATACTAAGTTTCCTACTTAGCATCTGTACAAAGTACACCACAAACAGGCATATTCTATTCTTAAGGAATTTCCATTCAAAACAAAATCTCAGTGATCTATCACCACTGCAAGACAACATTCAAAACTCTTAAATAAATGTACACTTCAATATATTTTCCTGTCAATTATTATTCTTTTCATTCAAGAATGGTCAGATTAAAAGCTGGTTTGGGGTTTTTTTGGTTGTGTTTTGGCATTTTTTCCCCCCATAACTAAAAATGCTGTGCTACTTTTCATTGGTAGAAGAACCACATGAGGAAGAAAAGAAAGTCCAACCTTGAAGACCATATATATTGGAAGCTCTGAAGACAATTATGCTGTATATAATTCCCATACTATATGATATTCTTAAAATGCAGTGAATAACCTAAGCTTATTTTTTGTCCCCATATTTGTTGGGGGAAAAAGGGAATCATCAAATTGGTTCAAGCCAGAGTATCCTCCTCTGGCAAGGTACACTGGTCTGTTCTTACCGCAAGAAATCTCTGTAAACCTGAGCAACACGTAAGCCAGTCTACTGACGTGAGAGGCTAGATGTATATGCTATCTTTATCCTGCCTTTTGGGTTGCATTTCTTGATCTGTGCTTAATGAGAGTGTACAGGTCAGAAGCATGTTCTCCTTTATTCTAGCATATTAATTTCCTCCATATTCTCTCTGTGCCTTTCTTACAGACTGTTCTGCATTCATGTTTTATTTGTTCTGGCTTCCTGACACCTCCTTTTAAACCTTCAGCCCACTTCTCATTGCCTATCCTTGTTAATTAATTAACAACCTATTTATAGTTTTGAAACAACTATGTTTCAGCAAGCTTGAAAATGAATTAAAGCATACAGTTCATCTCTAAATACAAGATAAAATATGGTATTAAATCACAAAAAAAAATATATAACTATAAAAACAGAATTTAAAATGCCATTTTTGCTCCCATTGCTAGCTAAACCAATAAAATAATAATAATGAAGAACTATTTCTGGTATTTTTTTTCTTTTAGTAATCTGGTTCTTGCCACTGCATCTATAACAAAGTTGTTTGTGATAAAGACACTTCTTACAGCATTTCTAGACAACTAAGTACCCAGTCCTGGATGACTTGAGCATGCATAATCCCTACTGTATCACTTCAGGTTACAAAGAAGTATCACTTGTCAGAATCATTATTTCCATAATATATTACACTGGGGGATACAGACTGTTCAAAACACCATTTGCTATCAACTTTCTGATATACCTCATCTCTTCTTTTTCTCCTTCCTGCTGACACAACATCCAATGCATCAAACACACACAGCCTCACAGGGCTAACAGGCAGATGTACCTACACATGCTTCATAAGAAAGTATTTCGAGAATGACAGGCCCTCAGCACACTCATTCACCTTTTTTAAATGTTTCAAATATACCATTCAGCAAAAGGAAAAATTGATTTTCACCGGGTTTCAACATCACAGGCACAGAGAAATATAACTCTGCTGGGCTTTACTGATAAAGCCTTCAAGTTATATAGATTTCAAGGTGGTCATCATTTTCAGATCAAGTTATAGAAAAAGTTAAAACTGAGGTGTCAAAGAGAGCAGGATATTCCAAGGAGATATTCCAGGGAAAATATTGCATCTGGTAGACTGATGTGTTACATTCATACAAGCCAAGCATATGGTATATTATTAATATGTGCAAATATTTAAGTAAAGAAAACTGTGGTGATTGTTTTGGAACGCACTGCTTTCAGTCCAGAGTCCTCTGAAATGTTATCATATAATATTGTTCATGCCTTTAATCTCCATCCTTAGCTATTCTCTGGTTCTCATGACTAACGTTTCCCTTAATTCACAGTGTACTTTCCAAAAGACAGAGAGATGCAAACTTAAATCTTTTGCACTTTGTATCAGAAAAGAAACCTGCAAAAAAAAAGTACAAAATAATAAAACAAAACAATAAAAATTAAAACATGTGAAGCTGGACTTTCACATATAAGAACTAGGCATAACCCTCCAATAGATAGTACAAAATCAGCTGTAACGCCTTTTTATTGAAAAAAAATAACTCAGTAGAAGAAATATACCTAGCCATTTCTCTGAGATTTCTTAAGTCCTCCATCTTGAATGTGTCTCAATTGCATCAACAGCATCAGTTATGGAGACTTATAGTTTGATACTTTTTAAAAAGTGTCTCTAGAAGCAGCATCTCAGGTGTTTAGTACTTCACATGTATAAAACAATCTATTAAAAATCCTCAGAAATAAGGGTTTCGAATCTGCAGTCCCACTTCATGCAGAAAGTCTCACAAATGAACATGAGTCAGTGCTCCCAGTGCAGGACCAAACCGTATATTAATAAATGCTACCAAATCTACGTTTGCAACTCCAGGTTCATCATTTGTTATAAACAGAAGAATGAATGAATGAATGAATGAATGAATGAATGAATGAATGAATGAATGAATGAGCGAGCTATCAGCCTTCCTCAACCATATTTTTATATTTCTTTGACTTATAATAGCAATGATGTGCTTATGTCAATCTGAGCTTTGTGTTGCACTTGATGAAATCAAC